GGGAGATGAACCAAGCTTTGGGATGGGGCGCAGGGCTGGGGAGATGAACCAAGCTTTGGGATGGGGAGCAGGGCTGGGGAGATGAACCAAGCTTTGGGACGGGGAGGTGAACCAAGCTTTGGGACGGGGAGCTGAAGCTGCTCCCCACGAGCAGCCCCGTGTGGGCCGGCTGTGGCTCAGGGTGCTGCAGAAGAAGCCCATCTGAAGAAGGAGCAGGGGCTGGTGTGCACAGCCGGGGGGAGGATGGCACAGCCTCATTTTGCATAAGCCAAAGTGCAGACCCTCCGTGGCTGCCGTGGGCTCGGTCCCGCGTGGCTGGGGAGCCGCCGCGGGCTCGGGGCGCGCATCCTCCATCCTCGCTGAGAAGGTGAAACCAGCCCGAGCTGCGGATCGCCGCTGGGGCGGGGGGATGGCTGCAGGCTAATAATATTCCGTGTCTCATTATGCCGCGTATGAAGCTGAAATTTGCAGATGCTCTAATCACCGCGAGGCATTCTGCGCACACAGCCTCCCTCCAGCCCGGCAGCGCTGTGCAAACACCGGAGGAGAAGCCCTGCTAACCATCCTGCCACATGGTGTCCTGGAATCTTTACAGACCATTTCACCTTCACAAATAGCCTTGGAATGTCTGTGCATCGACAGCCCCTGCGGTAGCCAGATAGGCTCAGCCGCCTCCTCTGCAGCTCCCCGGGCCCCTCTTAAGCTTTTTCCCATCACGCCATGCAGATGCGAGGCTCCGGAATTTACACCGGGGCCGGGCAAAGCACCTCACGTCGAATGTGATCTGTGCCCCAGGCTCGCAGGAAACGTGAACTGTATTTTATAGAGGTTGAGGAAAGCTCCTGCCTGAATAGCTTTAATTTTTTTTTTCCCTGTTTTTCTCTCTCCCTTTCTTTTTTTCTTTTTTTTTTTTAATGATTTTCTTTTCTTTTCCTAGATCTCTGCCCTTTGCCCTCCCGCGATCAAAGGGGGCACGCATTCAAGTGCCATGGGAATACTCACTCTGCATATTCTGGGCAATCTCACGAGAAAAGCTGCTTTTTCCCCTGAGGTAGGGAAACACGGATGGACTGGGGTGTGGGAAGCAGGGCTGGGAAGCCTGAGGGTTCCCTGTGCGTGGGAAGGCAGGAGAGAGGAGCAGCGTGGGAAGGGTTAACCAGAGACTGTCCTTGCTGTTTTTTCCAGGCCTGGCTGCACCAGATTCTTCCATTTCTCTTGGCAGGGATTGAAACCGTGGGGCTGAGCTAAACACATGAGCCTGGAGAGTCCCTGTGCTCCGACAGTGAGCAGGACCTGAGCGAGATGCTGCAGCTCATTAGCGAGGCAGCAGCTCGTCCAGGGCATGCAGGTGTCAGGCAGGCAGCAACAACAGCAAAACAGAGACAAGGAGGCAGAAATGCAGCGAGATGGGGAGAGATGGGGAGCGTTTGCTGCTCTGGGCATGCACATGCACATCCACATGCGCACGCACACCCATGGTTACTACAAGTAGTAGCGCAGAGGGAAAACTGGCCTGCTCTCTGTGTAGGGTTTGGTAATTGGGCTCATCCCCCGTGCTTGGTGCTGGTTTGGGCCACCACCTTGGCTCTCAGCTCATTTGGCATTTGGCAGCTTTTCCTTGCTGGGGGCTTGTGGCCTCCCTCACCCATCATCCCACCCTGGAGGGGTGATTTGGAACGCTCAGGAAATTGAGCATTCCATGGCCAAGCGAGGCCATGCGCTGCCCTCCTCTGGGCTGGCAATGTGGGGTGACCCAGGGAGGCGCCTGACCTGGGAAAAGGGCTGGGAAGCATTCCCTGAACGAGCACAATGGTCCTGTCCTGATGGCTCGTCTGGCTCGGCGCTCACAGTTGCCCAGGCGACTGCTCCTGGAGCAGCGCGCATGGCCGGAGCGGCCGGGCTGCTGGCCCGGGGGCTGCACCCCTGCTCANCACCCCTGCTCACACCTGCAGCAAACCTGCTCACACCCACAGCACACACCCTCTGCTCACACCTGCAGCACACCCCTGCTCACACCTGCAGCAAACCTGCTCACACCCACAGCACACACCCTCTGCTCACACCTGCAGCACACCCCTGCTCACACCT